TAGCACCTTCTTGTCCCAGTCAAACTGGGGCTTGACAACCTCGAGGTCGTACATGCCCAACAACATGTCGAAAGGCAAATTGTCGCTAACCAGAAATGATATTCTATGATTTAATTCTCCTCTTGGATAGGAGAAAGTGCAGACCACGTCCTTTACGTAGTCTTCCACCATCTTGCGCTCTTTGTTGGCCAAAGTAGATGCTACCGGTCTACTAAGGCGCTACACCTGGTCCTTTAGGGGCAGCCTCTCAACGCAGTCGCGACTTCGCGTAGAGCCGATGTCTATGAAGGCACCGCACTTATGGCCACCCACACCAACTTCCACAACAAAATGCTCCTCTCTAGGACCTCTACTTAGCGCCACCCAGGACCGACGAGGGTCCGTTGCCGGCCACTCACCTTGACGGTTAAGGCTTCAGACACATCCAATGTACAGAGTATAGTTGGGTCCGGATGCGTCTGCGGGGTGATTGAGGAGTCAATAGCTTCGCCCAACTCTTGAAACGGGGAGGGTACATCACCCGCTTCAATGAGAGTAGAAGCAGCTACAACTTCTACTGGCCGTAAGTGTAAGTGTTTCCCGAGTTGGAGCTCGTAGAGGCCCGAGATTGAGAAGAAGGATACCCACCCTTAGGCGGGATCTTCTGCGCGACCTTAACGTTTTTGCACTTAAACTGCTGGTGCCCATACTCGCCGCAGTTTATGCAAGCTCCACGCTGCCATCAATCTCGCCACACTTCTTGATCCAAACCTGCTCTAACCCCAACAACTATTTTGTTTGGGTTAGCGGCCTGCCCCTGACTCCTTTGTTGACCGCCCTCGCTGCGGCCACTTGCCTTAGTCTTTAGTGCAACGGCAAGGTTGCTACACTCATCACTATCCTCGCCGTCAAACTCTGCACTCTCCCGAAGTTCAGAAACATCATCGGTTTTTGTTTGATTCACTTCGGAATCAACCATCATCAGTCGACTACCTTTCTTCTTCGACTCTTGTGGAACCTTCTTCTTTCTCCCGTCCGTAGAGGGGGTTTGAGCACCACCCAGCTTAGCCTCTAAATCTAGGGCCTTTTTGCTGAAGGTCTCAAACGTGTGATACTCAAGTCGAGCCTCGCTGGCTAATAAGTTCTTGATGTATGTGGGAAGACATCTCAAGAACATGGTCAATAAGACCTGTGGATCGTACTCCACCCCTGGGACGAGAATCAGGCGCTTTATGGTTGTGGTAAGCTCTCGCACTGACTTGTACTTCCTAGCATCAAGCTTTATAGCCCATCGCTGGCAATATGTGCCTGCGGAGGGTTGTGCCAATGTGCTTCCACTAAATCCATAAACCTTTCTAAGGTGTGGGTTTGAGCCCAATCACCCATGTTTCTGCCGAACCCTTTTGAAGCAACCAATCCGTTAAGCCAGCGAGCGTCCGAACCCTCTATGTAGGATGCAGCAGTTATTACCTCCTCCTCTACCAATGTCCTCTTTGCGCTTACCCACACTGGCACCGTTCTCAACCACGTGTCAAGAGCCTCATCCTTCTTATCTCCCAAGAAAGTTGGAGGTGGTTTCAGGGGGGTCTTGGGGTACCAAGGTAATTGCTGTCCCGCTGGCGGGACAGGTGGCAACTGTGGTGTAGCGCCAGTCGCTGGACCAGAAGATGAAGAAGCAACAGTCTGGGATAGAGCTGTTGCTGAAGTACCGCTTGGTTTTGATCCGGACTGAACGGCATAGGGGTGTGTCGTCGCTGAGAATGACAGCGATGGCAAAACTGCTGGCCTGATTCCTGGCCTTTGCATGGCATTCATGATCTGGTCCAGGGTGTCGTGGATTGCATCCCGTTTGTTGTCCATGTATGCGTGCATGGACAGGATGCTCCTCTTGACAACTTTCATGTCGTTGTCCAGTCTAGAGTCATCTAAACCCTCTAGCACAGCTTTATCTGCCTCTCTACTCTCTAGTCTGATACTCCTATTTTCTCTCTCCCTGTCGGTAGCCTTTTTAAGCTCCTCCTCTAGCCTTAAGCTGATCCTTTCCGCTTGCTGGAGCTCCATCTGCTCCCGGGTGCGTGGAGGCGGCGAGCTGAACTGCGAGCCCACCATTTGACTAGTGCCAACTCCTGACGTACTAGAGATGACTTGCAAACTGGTCGAATTGGGCGGCGTGCCCAACCCCTGACCAGTTGAGTTTGCAGCAGATGTTACTGAAGAGGTAACCATTGCTACCGTGCTAGCTGCTGCTGCTGCCAACGCTCGCTCTTCAGCTGCTGCTGCTGCCAACGCTCGCTCTTCAGCTGCCGCTGCTTCTCTTGCAGTCTAGATTATGGGCCCTTGCTTCGGCCCTTATCCTTCTCTCATCCCCTGGTAGTAGAAACTGGAACACTACGGGTATCCTACCGGTATCCCGTCGTGTCTGTCTCCTATCGTCAGCCGTACCTTCACCACCCTCTGATCCACTCATCAGCTAGGCAGACACTGTCGCACTAGAGTCCTCTTTGGGACCTACCGCAACATGCGTCTGACCGGTTCTAAAAATAAATAAAATAAAATAATGTCCGGCGAGTTACCTAGACTACCGGTCAAGCGGCATCAACGGCACCTACACAGACTGTACACATATAGTTTACTTCTATCCTGATTAATTCTGCACAGGAGCTTTTGAGAAGAATTGACTATGGTAGAATAAAAATAAACTACTGTGAGCAGATGTATGTACAATCATACAATGGGTATGATAGTGTGTCACAGTTGAGTCCTCAATTGGAATCCCCTTCCTCTGTATCCAATGTTCCTGTGAGCATCATCAAGCGACAGTGTCTACGGTGTGCAACAATGGCCCACCCTTGTGCCCAAGGCATATGCTTATGACCAGCTTGCCCGTTATTTACCCTTGCGTGCAATGAGCCTTACGTCTGACTGATCTGGCTGATCAAGAGGCAATTTAAGGACGCCCCCCGGAGAGTCCTCAGAAGTTATTTAACGTTGCAATCAGGACGACGATCACAGCCAGTGGACAGTTCAGACCCCAACCAGAAATATTTATAGACGGTCTGGGAGCGTCTGCTTAGGACTGGTCAGTCCGCACACCCCTTCTATCAGTGCAGCAAAGAGCCTCAAAGCAGTATGGCCTGCGTGTACTACTCCCATGGGTTGGCATGGTGACCGTGACCCGTGCTTCGACCAGGGCCCTTCAGGGGCACCGCCCTCTCCTGCCAGATGCGCCACCGGGAAGAATGTCGTCTCTCAAGATAGAGCGCACATGACTCCTCACCAAAGAGAGGACACTCAAAGTTGGACTCACTTCCTCACAGTAAGAAGAGATTGAGAGGGTAGATAAGGAATGGGAACAAGGTACCTGGAGATAGCTGCCCCCAACCACAGATTTCTCACCAATTGGGCCGACGTGCATTTCGATGACCGGTCAATAGCCTCGGTACCGCCCACAACGCAATACAGTGCCACCTCAGCCAAAATGCCACGTCAGCATCCTCTCATCATCATACATACACCCGCTGTCGCTACAGCTCCCACGTTGTTGCCACAGCCTTCCAGCCGCCGGCCCCTCCACCGGGGTTCCACTATTACAAGCCAGCTTCAAGGTATCCTTACGGCACATGAAGCATCGTCAGCGCACAAAGTAACAATGTCGCCAGCGCCAGGTAAGCAGCGATCATGCACCAGCTCCGATACCACATTGCAAGGAATATGAGCGATCACGAACCAGCTCCGATACCACATTGCAAGTAGTCGTGTACAAGCAGAGAGCACAATCGCACCGAGAATCCATCCAAATAGAGCAATACAATGAAGTAATGAGCCAATGTTCAAGCCCTTAGGCCACACCAACACAGTATCCAAAGTCGCTCCTCTCTGTCTGGCGCCCAGCGCCTAGCCTACTCTACTCGGCTATCCTACCTACAGCTGTGTTCACGGAACAGGCTCACTTCGACTCTCGAAGACCAATTTACATGATGTCAACACCATAGCCGACCTCTCTTCATGCACTGGGTACGTATCTCGTCACCCTCATCAGACCCTGATACCCCACACTCGCCTCCTTCCTTGAAGACCACCAGATCGCCCTCTTACCCCCTGGCGCCCAGCAGCCCCGGCTATGGCCGCCTGCGCCCCGCTGCCCTGCAGCGCCCCACTTCACCTCTACGCGCCCCGCCAGCGCCCTGACCATTAGCGCAGCATCCAATGCAGCAGCGCAGCAGCGTGACCGCGTTGCCTGTGCAGGCCAGAATACCTCGCCTGGGCTGCCTCACTTCCAATATGGAAGTGGCAGCCTCCTGGATGCTGCGTGTGGCCTGGCTGGAAGCTTCCAGTAGCTTCTGGTTGGGCCTCAGCCCCTGCGCCCAGGCTCGAGACTACAGTTGAGGGCCTGGGCCCCTTTACAGTTGGACACCGCCTGAGTCTCCAGACTTGGGCCGTTTGCTGCATTTGTGCAAGGCCCCGGGGTAGGTGCGTCGACAGTACTGCTTTTTCATAGGCCGGTGGCGCCGCTTCACGATGCATTGGCCCTGCTTTGTGTGTATGTGCCGAGGCGCAACTTCCAAGGCCTGGGACAACTGTTGGACGCAGCTTAGTGAGGGTCACGCGTCCACTCAACCAACTAGCGTGCTGCAAGAGTCTGAATACCCACATATGAAAGTGTCAAATTTTGGCCTCTGATGAATACTCAGGCCCGTCTTCACTCAGGGCGGGCATTCGGCTTGCTGGGGGCCTTTGCCTAGAACATGTATGTCTGATAGGACCCCGTGAGGGCTCCTTCCTCGCATCTTTCTCCTGAAGCTAAGATGGGGCAGGCAGTGCGTTGCAGTGATGTGATATGATTTTTTTTTTTTTTTTTTTTTTTTGATACGATACGATGTGATGTGATGTGATGAGGGTAGTTCTGCCAGGTAGGTTCATGACGCTCTGACGGAAACCTATTTTTTGGTTTTTTGTGTTTTTTGTGTTTTTTGTTATTTTTGGGTTTTTTGGGTTTTGCCTTCTCTTCCTTACACACACAGGTGGTGCTTCAATTGTCGATTGCAACAGACAATTTAACGAGAGAAGCGAATCTCGAAGTTCTTCAGTTTGAGCGTCTGGAGCCTCCACTGTCTTCGCCATTGATCATGAGCCCAAGGTCAAGACGGCAGTCTGGGGTGGGAGTAGGAGGAGGAGGGGAGGTTTCGCCCATGGGGTCGGATCCCAGAGGCGGCAGTAGGGGTCCTGCTGCTGCGGGTGGCGGTCCCGGTGGTGGCGGAGGTGGAAAGCCTCTCTACGTGGCACCTGCAAAGAGTTCGTCGTTTAATAGTCGAACCACCTCTGCTCCTGCCGATCCGTGCAAGGACCTTCTTCACTGGCTCCTGCCTCTTGACCAACAGTTGTCGACGAGTGTGCCTACTCTTCTGCCGGCGCCTGCGTCCTTCTCTGCGGGGGGTTGGAGCTCTCCTCCTCGAATGTCAACCTCCACCGGATTTAGCTTCAGCAGCATGAGACTGCCCGCATCACCGACACGACCCACAACGCCAACTTTGCAGCAATCCTTCAGTTTCCATGCTGGCATGGGGGCCGGGACTGCTGCAGCCGCAGCCGTCTCGTTTGCTGATGATATGGACACCGGAGTTGATGGAAGCGGACTCGCCGGATTGGCGATGTCGGGACCGGGAGACGGAGTTGGGAGCGAAGGGATACTGAGCTTTCGCGGCATGGCTCTCGAGCCTCAGCGGTTTGTTGCGCAGTGCGGCCTCGAGGGGCCTCACGTTCCGGGAAAGTGTTGGTCAAAGCCGATCTCCATCTTGCATCCTCTCAAGGTGAGGGATTTGGTGTCTGATGACTGAACCCCTTCCCCCCCCCCCCACCCCCCCCGCCAGCCCCCCCCTTCCCCCATTGTGGCATGTTGACGATTGTTTGTACCATAGGTCCAGCATGGTTTAGGGACTCCAGATCTCCTCTGTCCTTGGTCATCATTACTCCTTGTCTACAAGCTTATGTGGTTCATGGGCTTTCTGCGTACTAACCAGAGTTGTCTCGAAAGAAGAGAACTCTGGTTCACGGGCTTGGCGTATTAACCAGGGTTGCCAAGCCCATGAACCAGAGTTAGCTTTCGAGATCTGCATCGAGGGTAATACCAGAGATTTGCATTGCATGGGACCACCTGCCTGCCTCGTGGGGCGGCCGGGACTCGGGCCGGGGCAGTCCCATATACCCGCCTGCCTTTCCGGGTCACCTGGGCAAACCAAAAAATGGGGTCTCTTTTTTTTTTTTTTTTTTTTTTCACCCCTGAAAACTTATGGCAGGGCATACTTGTGCCAACCGAGATGTGCCGAAAGCCGGCCGTATCTTTTAATTTGGTGATGTTTCAGCAGAGGGGATATGAAGGCTATAGCTATATATAGTATGTACCATACTTGCGGCGCATAGGTGAAGTGCGCTGCGCAGTACGCTGCGCGGTGCGCAGTGCGCTAATCCCAGGTGCGCGTGCGCAAAAAAAAACAAAAAAAAACGTGATGTGTGTATAGTATTGTATACATGCTGGAGAGAGAGAGAGAGAGAGCACAGAGCCCTTTCACATTATTCAGACAACCCCTCCCAGTAATTCAAAAGGTCCCTGCCAAATATTGGCAAGGGTCCCTTCGGCAGGAACGGGGTGGTCATTGGAAGGGTCGTCACTGGACTCATAGTAAGGAGGGAGTAGGCCAGCTACATATGGTGTAGCTTCGATTTCAGGTCCATGTTTCAGCAGTTATGGGTTACTGACTTACTAACTCAGCATGTGATTTTGAGGGCTTCACTCCACTACTCACCAAATGTGCAAAACTAGAATGAATCTTCTCCTAGAAACTGGATCCATACAGGCCATACGTTATTCTTTTCTGCAAGTGCTGATGAGTGGAGCCAGGCCCTTAGGGCCACTGCACACAAGTAAGAAAAGGAAAAACAAAAAGAAGAGACAGCTACTGTATGTGCAAAACTAGAATGAATCTTCTCCTGGAAACTGGAACCATACAAGCCATCCGTTTTTCTTTTCTGCAAGTGCTGATGAGTGGAGCGAGGCCCTTAGGGCCACTGCACGTAAGAAAAGGGGGAAAAAAAAAAACGAGACAACTACTGGAGTGTTTGTGGTAAATTCGTAACCCATAACTCTTGGAACACAGACCTGAATCCGAATCCGGGATATATTGCTGGCCTACTCGTGGTCTTCCAGCAGTCCAATGCACATCCTTACGAAGGTTATGGAACCCCTGCTAATTGCTTGCAGGGTACTTTTCGGAAAGGAGAATCAAACCAATGAGAAGTAGGACGAGGCCCCAAATTATTCTCTTTGTGTACTTTTTAAAAGGGAGTGACACTGGGTACGATGACCTACCCTTTCTGATTTTTTTTTTTTTTAATTATTTTCTAAATGCACCGCATCACGTGTGCACGCACGTGTGTGCATGTGCGCTACGGCGCACGTGCGCAAGCTGCGCGCACGTGATGCGCCGCAAGTATGGTATATACTATGTAAACGGGGTTTAAACTTTAAAGTTTAAATGGGGTTTCGAAAGGTCTTAAAGGCTGAGTGGGGATCCGGGCCGCCCGGGTGGCCGGCAGGGGCCCTGGGGAGGTCCCGGGCGGCCTGGCCGGGCAGGGCACCCGGTTGGGGGCCGGGCCCCCCAACGCACTCACCTGTCGGGAGATTTCAGACACCCTTTCGGACCCCCTTTGTGTGTGTGTGTGTGTGTGTGTGTGTGTGAGAGAGAGAGAGAGAGAGAGAGAGAGAGAGAGAGAGAGAGAG